CCGCGGGAGCCGCGGGGAGCGCGGGGGCGGCCCGTAGCGCCCGGGGTCCCCCGCGCCCCGCTCGCTCGCCGCGCTCCGAAGATGGTGGCGGCGCCGTGCGCTCGGAGGCTGGCCCGGCGCTCGCACTCGGCGCTGCTCGCGGCGCTCACCGTGCTGCTGCTGCAGACGCTGGTCGTGTGGAATTTCAGCAGCCTAGACTCCGGGGCCGGGGAACGCCGCGGGGGTGCAGCGGTCGGTGGCGCGGAGCAGCCGCCCCCGGCCCCGCGCCGCGAGCGCCGGGACCTGCCCGCCGAGCCGGCTGCAGCCCGAGGAGGAGGCGGCGGAGGCGGAGGCGGAGGAGGACGGGGGCCGCCGGCGCGGGCGCGAGGAGGCGGCCCCGGAGCACCCCGCGCGCAGCAGCCGGCCAGCCGAGGGGCACTGGCCGCGCGGGCGCTGGTAAGTAAGATGCCTTTTCGGCTGGCGTCCCGGAGGGAAGGAGGGAGGTAAGAGGGCAGGCGGCCCGACCCCACGCCCCCCAGCCCTTGAACCCCGCTCATCAGACCGGGACTCCCCAAGCCTGCTGGCTCCACATCTCTTTCCCCTGGAAACCGGGGTTCGGTCCCTTCCCAGGCTCAGGGGCCGAGGGCTGCCCCATCCCGAGTCTGAGGACTGCCCCCTTGGGGTCTGGGGAAGTTATCTCCAGAGGAGGCGCTTTGGGGGTTACCGGAGCCTGGCTGGGCCCCTGTACCCCGTCACTCTCGCTGGGCGCCCCGACTTGCTTTGTGCATGTGGGTGTTGGCGCCTCGCTCCCGGTCTGAGTGCCTGGACCGTGCCGGGATCCTCAGCTGCTGCTCTAGGCGGTGGTGCTCACCGCATCTCTGGTTTTTGCCCAGCTGGGTGCAGGCAACTCAGTCCTCAGCTTGCTGCCTCGTTGTTTTTGCCTAGCCTGAGAGGGAGGGGGGTCTGGGATCGGTGCCCCAAGTCCTCAGCCGTGCCCCGGAGTCAAGACTCAGTCTTGGGTGCCTGGTCTTACTTTGAGTCTCCTGTCTTCCATCCCTGGAAGTCTGAGACTCTTGTCTCCACCCTGCCCGTGTCTAACCTTGCCCTGTCCTGGTGCCCTCTCTCCAGTGTCAGGGCATGGCCCCTTCTCCTAGGTGGTTGTGTTTGGCTCTCTGTCTTGTGTGTGTGGCTAATTCCTGTCACCAGCTGTGTGTCAGATCACATCATCTCGACTTAGGCTTCTGTGGGTTTACTTTGCCCTCCTTGGGTGTGAACAGACCAGGCTCTGAAACTGTTCCTTCCGCAGATCTTCTGGGGCCATCAGGGTGTCTTCTACCTGCCCCCAACTTCTCCAGGGGTGACTTTCACACCTTCTTTGGGCTGATTTGTTTAGCCCACTGAGCTAGGACCACACAGGAGAGGTCAGAGTCCCCAACTTCGGGCCAGGGTCTCAGTGCCCTGTGGGCGTGTCTGTCTTGAGGCATAACGATGTGCTGTGTGTCTGTCTGTATCTTCATTACTCCGATTGCCTAGAGAGTTTCTCCCAGCCCTTGCGGACATTAGACACCAGGGGGTAGTTTCAGGCTCTCAGGTGTTGAATGCATGTCTCTGTCGTTTGTCACTTTGGGAGGCTTCACTGAAGGCTGCCTTCGGACACAGCGTGATGCTCTTTGATCTGCTAAACTTCTTTGGAGTCAAGGCGACCCTCTTTGCCACAGCGCTGCTCTTTGTACCTGTGGGGTGAGCCAGCCCAAGACGTGATGCGATGGCATTTCACGTTGCTGGCTGGTCTGTGTGGGTAGCAGGGAGAGACATCTTTTCCCCATTTGTGGGGAGGAGAGTGGAGTGAGATTCCTGATGGAGAACCAGAACGTTCCGAATGCCTCTTATTTATAGGAAAGAGTACTCTCAGACACTGCCTTTGAACTCCAGGAGTGGATAGAAGAAACGCAATTAGAAGTTCTTTCTAGATTCGGAGGCCTGCGGGGAGGTGGGGTGGGAGGGGGTCAGGACATGCACCACTAGCCTGGGGAACACGTGGGAGGCATAGGGCTTACTGTACCCTTTGCATCCGGGGGTCTGGACAGGCATCAGGAGGTGCCTTTCCAGGCAAATACCACCTGTTGAAACAAGCGGAGGGAAGGAAGGAGGCCTGGTTGGTTGATTTCTTCCTGGATCCCTGACATTTTGGGTCCTATGTCCACACCTGCTTTGTGCGTTCAGTTCTGTGTCTTACTCTCTCATCCCCCAGCTCGGCTGCACTGAGGTTTGCAATTGGGAAGGTTAGTGGGAGCGTGCCACTTTTCCTTTTTTATTCCTTTTGGAACACCAGTTCCAGCAGCAGAGTTGCTTTGCTTTTCTGAAACTCTGCTTTCACCTGTAAGTCCAGTGACTATCCCCCTACACACATCTCCCAGTGTCTCAATTTCTTCCGATATAGACATAGCTGTATTTTGTTTTTTCTGCCCTTCTCCCTTCTTTCTGGTTGTCTACCATGTGGTTGTTCACTGCTGTCTCTCCTGGATTTGTACTTTATCTGTTTGTGTCCTCTCTCTTCCTTTCCCCGACGTCTACCCCAGTGCCCTGCTAGATCCTGAAATCACAGCACAGACCTGCCGGATGGAGCTGGGGGTCTGTCCTTCTCTAGCTGTGCCCACCCAAGCCCTGCCCTTCCACGGAGCTCAAGGAGACCAGAAGGGGGCAGGCTGTTCCCAAAGTCCGGCGTTGTCTGAGCTTAGGCTGCAGGCTGGGAGGAGAGGACCAGGCCTTGCGGCAGGCCACTGAGGCCCTCAGAACATATGGTTTGTTTGCAAACCCTGCCGAGGCTGCCGGTGTGTGATGCTTTGGCGGGAGACTCAGGAGTGGGACGTAAAAAAAATTCCCTGTGATTTTCCAGATGACTCTCATAAAGAGCTGGTGAGGCACGTGCTTGGGAGATGATGCTTTGTCTCTGTGCTCTGCAGAGGATGCAGGTGGGGAGGACAGTTGTGGTTTTGGGATGCAGAGGGACTCTGTGGCTCTGGTGGTGGTGGCAGTGGGTGTGTCCCAAGGAGTGTCAGGCAGGCGCTGTGGACAGAGCATTTTCTCAACCAGACCTTGCTGCTTCCTTGTGTTCACCCTCCCAGAGCTTGTACCTTTTATGTTTGGGGAGCTGCACCCCAATGGAAGGACCTGATTGTAATTTTGGTGCATTTTAAGAAGTCAAAAAGAAACACCCAGTTTCTCAAGCAGACAGAGCCAGAGAGAGTGCAGGTGGCGGCGAGCCGGGCATATCCCTAAAAGATCTGCAAGCTCCCCTTTTCCTCCACCCCTGTCAGAGCTCTTACATATTAGAATTATTGGGTGGATGGCAGCGGAGTTTTGCGGCCGTGATACTCATCCCTTCATTGGGTCTCCAGTAAGCTGTGGATTTTATTGTCATCTCAGAATGTAAGAAACAGATGGGCTCACTTATGAAGGGAGGGAAAACATTGAGGAGAGTGTCAAAAAGATCACACTACAGGTTCTGAATCAATTTTGGGGAGAATGAAAGAGAACTGTATGTTAATGTAACGAATGTTTATTTTCTTTCCCTTTGCCCCCAGTGATCCTCTGAAGTCCTCAACATTTATTGCTTGTGCCCTTAGATAAACTATTACCTAGTAAGTGTCATTTAAGAAACCTAATTTTTTATTGTGCACACCCCCCCACACACACACTCACACACTCTTAAAGTAGAATGGACTTTCTGTATTGTCTGACTCCTTTGAAATGTTGATTTTTCGGCAGAAATTCCTCATACTTCACATTACTCAGATAACTCAGGACTTTTTCAGACATTGGCAGTGACTTTGAAAAATTGGTTCACTGTATCCAGATCGCCTCTGGTTCTAACAGCCTCAGAGGCGTAGCTTTTCTTTCTATCCAAATGTTTTGAGACCAGAGAGAACAGAGGGTATTTTATTGATGGTTTGTTTTTCTCACACTCTCAATGGAGTTTTAGTTTGCCTGAGCAGTGCATTACACTTTGTATACAGAAATATGCATCACTGAACAATATTTATCTTGATGCAAATGTTGCCATCTGCTTAATCATGTACTGGAAAATGTTAAATAGATAAATAAAAGTAGAAATTATTATATGCTTATATATATTTTACATATATATTCACTTTCCTTCCAGTCTTACACTTTAGACGTTCTCTCTAGTTTATCACTTCTTTTTATTTTAATCTTCCAGAAGGTTGAGTGTCAAATGCTTGCTGTTTTGCAAATAGGAAGCCAAAGCATAAGTTCCTGTTTGCTGGGGATTGTCCAACTTTGATCCATGGTCTTAATAGAAAAGGAAATTACTTTGAGCTAGAGCAGATATCTGACATTGTTGTGTGTGTGTGTGTGTGCGTGTGTGTGTGTTTCCCCAGAAAACAAAATATCCTTAAGGATATCTCTGCAGTAAGTGTCTGTCCTTCCACCCAGAGTTATTTATGATCAGTGGGGCCTTAAATCTACATGCAGAAAGACAAAAATGCAAGCTGCCAGCATAATTGGACCTGGTCTCTATCTTGGTCAATACTGCCCTAAGACTTGTCACTTATAACTCTCCCGGTTTTTCCCTTGCATCTCCCATTTCTATTGCCCCCAGCCCCTATCTACCAGAACCAGAAAGAAAATACTTTAGGGAAAATGAAAAAATAAATAAAATACAAACTCAACCTCAACAAAACCCAAGCTCAAAGGAAGGGGTATGGGAACAGGAGAAGAGTCACATGAAACCCGTGTCAGGCCCCAGCACAAGCGAAAGAGGCCTCCATTAACTATCCTTGGGTCCGCCTTTGCCGGGTTCAGGTCCCGGCTCTGCTCTTGGCCACCCCTGGGATCTTGGGCAAGTCATTCTCACTTCGTTCCTCTGAAAATCAGGGCCACCTCATAGGGTTATGTGAGGCTGAAATGTAATAATACGTGGGAGCCAATTTGCGCCTGGCACATAATAATAACAATGGCCAAATGTGAGCCGTTGTTCTTAAAAAGAAACTCTTAGTATGTTTGAAAATAAGCAAATTTTCGCAATTATTCATTTTCCCAAGCCAAGTAAGGCTTGAGTGTAATCCAAGGCAATAGAGTGCGTCCAACTCCTCTGTGTGTCAGCGTGGAGCAGGATGGAATGTGGGGGAGGGAGGAGCATTGTTGAGTGCCAGCTGCCGGGCATCCTTCAGGTGTTTTGCATATATGATGTTATCTTTTTTATTACTACTACTATTATTATTAATTTGCAATCACAGAGTGGTATGCAGTTAATAGAACAGCAGTTATTTTGTACAAGTTGAATCAAAGACAGTTGAAGATGGGGAAAAGCCAAACTCTATCTGTAACTAATTTGTACCACGTACCAATAAAACCTGCTTTAAATTTCTGTGCCAATTTAAACCCCTGTACTCTACCAGGCAAGGTTGGTGGCTATTGAAAATACCATTAAGGAC